GGGATGGCTGGGAATGCTCCTTCCCGGGATGGCTGGGAATGCTCCTTCCCGGGATCCCGGCCCCACATCCCGCTTTTCCTGCAGGTGCTGGAGCAGCTGGAGGAGCACCTGGAGCGTTCCCAATATTTCCGCTTCCTGTGGTTCCCGCACAGCGACCACGTCCGGATCATCTACCAGGATCCCACGGATCAGGCACGGCCCAAGGGATTCCCGGGAATTCCGGGGGCGGGAACGTGGGGAGGGAAGCGTCTCCTTGGGAAAGGGTTGGGAATCCCGGGGTTTTCCAAGCTCTTGGAATGTTCAGGACAAATCCTGGTCTCTTTTGGGAATGGATGGGAGTTGTTCCCATAATCTGGGAATCCTGGGGTTTTCCAAGCTCTTGGAATGTTCAGGACAAATCCTGGTCTCCTTTTGGAGCTGGATGGAACCTCTTCCCATTATTTGGGGTTTTCCAAGCTCTTGGAATGCTGGTGGCAAATCCTGGTCTCTTTTGGGAATGGATGGGAGTTGTTCCCACAATCTGGGAATTCCAGGGTTTTCCAAGCTCTTGGAATGCTCGGGACAAATCCTGGTCTCTTTTTGGAGCTGGATGGGACTTGTCCCCATAATCTGGGAATCTTAGGGTTTTCCAAACTTTTGGAATCTTCCTGACAAATCCTGGTCTTCTTTTGGGAATGGATGGGAGTTGTTCCCATAATCTGGGAATCCCAAGGTTTTCCAAGCTCTTGGAATGCTCAGGACAAGTCCTGGTCTCCTTTTGGAATTTAATGGGAATTGTTGTCATAATCTGGGAATCCCAGGATTTTCCAAGGTCTTGGAATGCTCAGGACAAATCCAGGTCTCCTTTTGGAGCTGGATGGGAATTGTTCCCATCATTTGGGGTTTTCCAAGTTCTTGGAATGCTCAGGACAAATCCTCATCTCCTTTTGGGAATGGATGGGACTTGTTCCCATGATCTGGGAATCCCGGGGTTTTCCAAGCTCTTGGAATGTTCAGGACGTATCCTGGTCTCTTTTGGGAATTGATGGGAGTTGTTCCCATAATCTGGGAATTCCAAGGTTTTCCAAGCTCTTGAAATGCTCGGGACAAATCCTGGTCTCTTTTTGGAGCTGGATGGGAATTTTTCCCATAATCTGGGAATTCCAGGGTTTTCCGAGCTCTTGGAATGCTCGGGACAAATCAGGGGGCAGAAATTCCGGGAATGCTGGGATTCAATCCCTGCTCCCGGACCGATCCCGCTCCCGCTCCGTGCTCCCAAATTCCCGCCCTCCCAAATCCTGCTCTTCCCTGACTTCCATCCTGTCCCCTCTCCTCTTGGATTTGCAGCCTCCCTGCTCCTCCTCCAGCTGGATTTGGGATTACGCCGTGGGATATTACCTGCTGGAATTCCTGCTCTGGATCAGGTGGGATTTTCCAGGATTGGCCTCAGCCCACTCTGTTCCCTGATTCCCTGGGATTGCCCGGGAAGGTGGGAAAGGGCGGGATGTCACCTGGAGCTTCCCCATCCCTGGGGAAGGAGGAATTCCTTGGGGTTTTTCCCAAGATTTCCCGTGGCCGGGATCGGTGGCTGGGGCTGCAGCGCCCTCTGGCGGCCTCGGAAATCCGGGAATTGTCCCGGCTGGAAAAGCCCTTCGGGATCACCGAGGGGCCGCATCCGCAGGGATTTTCCAGCCCTGCAGGGATGGGATCCCAACATTCCCGGAGGAGCTTTTCCCAGCCCCGAGGGGACGTGGAATTGCAGCTGGAAAGGGGGTTTTTTTTGGGAAAAATTTGGGAATATCCCGAGGGATCCGATCCATCCGAGTGCTGGAGGCTCACCTGGGAAGCGGGAGAGGCCCGGGAGAGGCGGGATGGGCTCCAAAACCAGGGAAAAGTGGGATTGGGGCCACGTCGGGCACTGCCAGAGGGTCCAAAGTGCCATTCCTGGGATAGCGGGAGGTGTCCCTGAACTTGGAATGGGATGGGATTTAAGGGCTCTTCCCAGCCAACCTATCCCGGGATCCCAATCCCGGTTGGATCCCAGTCCCGGTGGGATCTCAGCTCCTGCTCTCTCTCCCGGCAGCACCTTCATTCCCGCTCTGGTTCCTTGGATCAACCGCTGCTTTTTCCGGCTCCTCTTCAGCTCCCGGGTGGAAAAGGTCGCCCGGAGCCACCGGATCTTCAACTACGAGTGTCGCTTCCGGCAGCACGTCCAGGACTGGGCCATTCCCATGTAAATCCCAGGGAAATCCCATGGAAAGCCCGGGAAAACCCCCTCCTGGGATGCCCCTGGAGCTGCAGGGAATCCATGGGGAAAGGGATCTGGTTGGGAGGAACATTCCCACCTGGAAGTTTGGCTTGAGGAGACCTGTCCAGGCTTGTCCTGGGATCCCAAATCCATCCCTATCCCAGGATCCCAAATCCATCCCTATCCCAGGATCCCAAATCCATTTCGTATCCCAGAATCCCAAATCCATCCGTATCCCGGGATCCCAAAACCATCCCTATCCCGGGATCCCAAATCCATCCCTATCGCGGGATCCCAAATCCATCCCTGTCCCAGGATCCCAAATCCATCCCTATCCCGTGATCCCAAATCCATCCCAGTCCATCTCTAGAGCCTCCATGGGAATGGGATGGGAATGGAGCTGGGATGGGATGGGAATGGAGCTGGGATGGAAATGGGAATGGGAATGGGAATGGGAATGGGAATGGGAATGGGAATGGGGATGGAGCTGGGATGGGATGGGAATGGGAATGGAACTGGGATGGGATGGGATGGGAATGGAGCTGGGATGGGATGGGAATGGAGCGGGAATGGGAATGGGAATGGGAATGGGAATGGGAATGGGAATGGAACTGGGATGGGATGGGAATGGGAATGGAACTGGGATGGGATGGGATGGGATGGGAATGGAGCTGGGATGGGAATGGAGCTGGGATGGGATGGGATGGGAATGGGAATGGAGCCATGGGATGTGGGATGTGCCATCCCAGGCCATTCCCAGCCCCATTCCCAGGCCATTCCCAGGCCATTCCCAGGATGCCATGAGGCCGGAATGGGGCCGGGAATTCTGCACTGAGCGGGCTCTGTTCCCTTTCCCG